CCCAATTGTCTGAGGGACAGCAACCCGGCCCCCAGCTCAAAAAGGTTGCCTACCCCTGATCTAGAGGTATATTCATAGTGGTTTGAGTGTTGGACTATGACTCTGGAGACCAGGTTTTGATTCCCAGCTTGGCCATGAAACCTACTGGGCAACCTTAAGCAAGTCACATTCTCTCAGCCTTAGAGGAAGACAATGGCAAACCTCCTCCGAATAAATCTTGCTAAGAAAACCCTACAATAGGATCCTTATAGTCACCATAATTCAGAAATGACTTGAAGGCACACAACAACAATTACTGAACCAAGGTGAATTAGAGAGGTCTTCAGTTTACATTCAAACTCTCTGCTTGAGTCTCTTGGATTCAGGTTGTCAATAGAAACAGGTCACCTGAAGGGAAAGCAACAGTCTTGTGTCCCAAACAGGAACAGAGCCGGTGTGTTGTACTGAAAACCAAAACAAACCAAACAAAACAAAGCCCAAACAAAAAACAAAAACCACCCCACCACCAAGAGGAAGATATTCTGTTGTGGAAGGATGATAGGCAGACAGACAACATTACACTCCTGAGCTTACAAAGGACAGATAGTTAGAAATCAGCATGTTAAGCTTTTTCTGGCCTCGAGCTATGCATTATTACCTGCTAAATACTGTAGGTCACATTACCATTAAACCAACAATTCTAGGAATGAGGTCAAAAGTTGGAAACTCTCATTTTAAACCAGGGGTTGACAGCTTTTTTCAAATCTTACCAAGCTACAACCAAATGCTCATCATCCTCAACCATTGATCAGGTTGGATGGGACTTATAGGAGTTCACCAATGTCTGGAAAGTAACAAATTAGTTTAACCCATATCATCAGAGGGTAATTGAATCACATCTCTCCCAAGACAAGTCTGTCCTCGGATGAACCAAGTCTGCCCCATAACATGGTAATCTAGCATAAAGGACTAGATGTTGCCCCTCTCCACTATACATACAGAAATTGGACTGGCACTACACTCTTAGGGCTTGAGCAGACTGCCAGAAATAATCCAACTTGAGACCACCTTAACTACCCTGGCTCAGTGCTAGGAAATCATGGGAACTGTAGTTTATTGTGACACCAGAGCTCTCTGACAGAGAAGGCTAAATGTCTCCGAAAAAAATACGATTCCCATGATTCCCTAGCATTGAGCCAGGGCAGTTAAAGTGGTCTCAAGATGGATTATTTCTGGCAGTCTGTTCAGGCCCTTAGTTCAATATTGTTGGTAGGATGATGTTTACTACCACGCTTGAGACAGCACAGATCAGTGACATCATCTGCAGGATGTTCAGAAGATTACCAGAGTTCCCTGCAGATGGCTGTCTCTGTATATCCATCTTAAGGAAAATAATTGAACTCTTAGCTCCTGCTCCTTCCACTCTTCACCAACCAGGAAATATCCCAGTTTGGGGGTCTGCAGTTGAGAAAAAGTGGGTTTGGAGGGTGTTGGGTGGGAGACTATCCTAGTTTCATCTCATATTTACATCTCTCAGTGCAAGACTACAGCCTGTGTTTCTTCTAACATGCAACCAAATTGACATGATCTTCCTGGAGACTTGATTGTGGCATTTGGTCATCCTTGAGCTGGAACAGGTTATGAAGTACTGAGCCATGATCAGATGCAGGGAGAAGAAATGGTCAGTTTTTGGACTATTACTCCCAGAACCCCATGGCCACCATGGCCAATGATCATAGCTTTTCAAACTGGAGTTTTGAAGGATAAACAAAGAAGCAGGGTGGGGAGAGAAGTGGGAGAAAGAGGGGCAGAAATACATAGGACCTGGATGTGGTCTAGGCATATACTGTACATCAATATAATATGACTGTATGTCTAAAAAGATACTTGAAGTTGGTGTCCCTATAATGCATATTAATGTGTGGCTAAGCAATAAGATCTTCTGACCACTGAACAACAGCTGGTGAATTGTTTCAGCCTTAGAATCTTTTAGCATTCAAGATCCAACCATGTCGACCATCAGTTAGGTTGCAAGGCACAGAAATACAGCTTAAGAATACATATGCATAAATAAATAAATATCAAAGATTTTTCTTTTACATTTGGGATAGATCCAGCCAGAAAGGAGTAACCATTGAGCCTGTTCACATTGTATTCTACAAGGAATAAATTATCTGTTTTACATTGCTGACATGTAGCTGAAGTGGTCAGGTCATTTCTAAAAAGACAGCATGGTGGCTGATATATCCCAAATCTCTATTTTAATTTTAAAGCTAAAGAGATTTTAGATGCTGTTATGGCAATTTGTTATTGGTTGATTTGCACAAGCAAATCTAACCCTTTATTCCACTCACTCCTAATTTCCTTAATATCAATCAATCTCCATGCTTTCCAATAATCATTATCAACTTCAATTTGTTGGATTCAGTTTCTTGGTATTTACAGCTAGTATATCCAATACAGCAGGGGTGGCTGAGACACTCACAGCCAATGGCCCTTGTGTGACAATAGCAATGCTGGCTGGGGGATTCTGTGAGCTATAGTCCAAAATATAATGTTTCTAAGCTCTCAGCAAGTGTGTAGATCCTTAGAATCAAGAAATTGTTCCTCCCTATAGAAGGAGTGAAAACAGGAGGAAGGAATATCAACATTGTAAGGTATACAGATGACATCATACGATTAGCAGAAAACATCAGAGACCTAGAGCAAATACTAAGGAAGATCAAGAAAGAGTGTACAAAGGCAGGCTTATTATTGAATATAAAGAAAACAAAAATAATGGCCATGGAGGATTTAAGCAAATGCAATCTTGACGTGAAAGAGCTCTCATACCTGGATCAAACACTGAGCAGAGGGGGGACTGCTGCCAAGAAAATATTGTTGCATTTGGTCAAGACTAAGAATGGGAAGGGCAGCTATGAAAGAAGCAGAAAAAATTCTAGATGTAAAGATATGCAACTGAGCACAAAAGTTAGAATTGTACAAGTCATTGTTTTCCCTATTACCCTGTATGGATACGAGAGCTGGACAGTTAAGAAAACAGATAAGAAGAAAATTAATTTGTTTGAGATGTGGTGCTGGAGAAGAGTGCTGTGGATAGCCAAAAAGACAAACAAATGGGTCCTAGAACAGATCAAGCCATAAATCTCCCTGGAAGCCAAGATGACTAAACTGAGGCTATCACACCTTGGTCACATCATGAGAAGGCACAACTCATTGGAGAAAACAATAATGTTAGGAAAGGTGGAGGGAAGTAGAAAGAGAGGAA